TACAGGAATTATCTGGTTCGTCCATATTCAACCAGAAATTTTTTTCAGTGTACTCATCAAAGCTACACTACCGCACATACAACTTTTCTCTCTTTGGCTTGACCAAAATAATGGCAGATGCGCAGAAGGGATCGACGCAAACAAATGAAGGAGTGGACTAGTTATAGGAACTATGGCTGAAATCTCCAGAACGAAATTTGACGAACACTTTTGACATGCGCGTTCTTTTTAGGCATCATCACCACACACGGCGTATCTTTTTATGAGCCCCCGCAGTTGTTTGCCTTTTTTGAAATAGTAGAGCAAAATATGATGATATTGCACGGTATTTACTTCCATTTTTATAGCTACGCCGCACACACAATACTGATGTTAGCTAAACCAAAATTCGCAGAAAAGTCATGCGAATCATAACCTTTTAAATACGAATTCGAGTTGCGCGACAGTCCTGAGAAAAAGAGGAGTGAATCGGAATGAACCTGCATCGAGGCAAAAACCGAACAAACTTATTTGTCGACGTAAAATATGTAGATATTAAAACACAAGCACAAAATTAAAAATCATAAATCGCCCGAAGGACTTGGAGAGAGACAGAATTCTATTTATAATTTTATATCTCGTATACTTTAATATATTTTTCTTGTTTTATTGTGCAAATGTTTTTCATATTATATGAAAGTATGAATAGAATACTATCCTGAGTTCTGATAGGAATTCTATATTAGTCAAAGTTAATCTTAAATTAGACAGGGTGTCCCAGGAGGAAGGGTCAATATTCTGGTAGGTGATAGTATCGGTCATTTTAAGCAAAAATGTTCGTATGAATATATGTCCCATTCCTCACTGTTTCCGAGATAGAGCTGTTTGAATGTACAGTTGCAAAATTACTGACAAGAAAGAAATACCACATAATATTTATTGTTCAAATGATACATTTTTATAGATCATAATAAATTTGCAAAATAACAACAATGCATTTTTCAACTCTTGCGTGAACATCCCAGTCAGAAATGACTCGAAAACCGACGTCGAAACAATATCGAATCGATGCATTTTTGGTTCCATTTTCGAGCCAAGTCGAAAATGGAACCAAAAATGCATCGATTCGATATTGTTTCGACGTCGGTTTTCGAGTCATTTCTGACTGGGATGACGTGTTGTTCGTCTGAGTACATCGTGACGTTCCTTTACGTTATAAACATTTCTACAATGTTATCAGCACAGCAGTCAACAGTCGTGTAAGAGTAAATTCTCCCAGACGTTTATGAGGTTGGATGAAGGGTGAAGTGTACGGGAAAAAAGTAAATACCCGAGACATTCAAGTAGCTCTATCTCGGAAGCAGTGGGGAATGGGACATATATTCATATGAACATTTTTGCTTACAATGACCGATACTATCACCTCCCAGAGTATTGACCTTTCCTCCTGGGACACCCTATATATTTCTGGCAGGCGGAAAAACATGAACGCAAAAACTCGTGTTTCTTTTTCAAAAGACCTGACAAAGTGTAATTTGTGAACTTGAGACGAGACGACATTGTGTTTACAAGTTAAACAATTATTTATTTTAATGCGACGTAATCCTTGGGATATAAGCGAATTTCACGTGACTGCGCTCGCATCTATCTTGCAAGTGATTTTTAATCATCAGCGTGTACCTCGCGGACTCCGCGCAGCCGGGCGCTGCGCGCACATTACTACTTGAGATTCTACGAACGATTCGAAAATACTGAATGCTGGTAAAACCCATCATGTACGTGACAGCGCGGCAAAAAAAATACCGCGTGCCAGATGTAATCCCGACGTTGAAGAATATAAAATATTTTCTCTACAGCGACGTCGACCGGGGTGTGTTTACGCGTGTAACGAAACTGGCTCGTACAAGAGAAAAGGAGAGCACGAAAAAATGAAGGGGCTCGTAAGTAGTGCCAGGCGTCTTCCCTTTACGGCGACGCACAGTGTGGTTAATCCTCTGCCCCGGGAGATTATGCACATTAACTTTGTTCTTCGACCGCTGTCAGTTCAACAACGAGTAGTAATAACTCTTTTCTCGCAGTTCTTATGACTTTGATTTAACTAAACATTGAACGTCGTATAAGAGAATTGCAGTACGAAGCAAAGAAAACACCTCCAAGCGCATGATTTATCAGACGAAAGTTTCCTCTTATGAGATAGGCTCCTAATATGAGATAGTGGGGTTTGCACTAAATTGATAGGCATCATCCGTTGGTTCCACCATTAATTTATTGTCCTTGGAATGAAATCTGTTTAGTGGAAAATTGATTGCTAGACCGTGTAATTGTTGCGCGAAAACTGGCTTGTGATTGAAATTGGACGTTGAAAACCTACTATCTCATATTAGAACCCTATCTTCTAATAGAGGACTTTCCTCTATTAATAGATAGTAATAGTCGCATATATTTGCGACTCACAATTTATAAGAAATTTATTTTATTTCATTCGTGTGTTTAAGCGATCGGTCGCTGCGGATTTGTACAAGTGAAAAACAATCGCGTCACGACGCTGATAATTTTTGAATAAATATGCATAAAGAAAAGTGAGAGGATGTGTGCCATTGTACTTTTGAAATGGCAACAGTTTCTAAATACATAGCTACAGGCCGTATCGATTTAACTGAATAATCGATGAAGCAATTTAATGAGCGAATAAGTTTTAAGCGATCTTCGATCGAGTTCATAACACAGGAAGGTGTAAGAGTCGGCTTATCGTTGCAGGTCAGGACGCCGGCATCGTGTTGTCGCCGCTGATAGGCGTGGTGGTCGGCGCCCTGGTGACTCTGGTGCTGATCATCCTGGTGGTGGTGGTCAGAGTACGTAGGGAGCGCGTAGCAAAACCACGGCACGAGAAACCGGCGGAACTCAGCGAGTTACCGCCCCAACAATACCCCTTGCAGAATTCTCAGCAGACCGTGGAGACTGATCCCGACGTGATCCCGAACAAGTTCGGTAAGACTCCTCGAAGCCGATACTCGCTAAACAGCCCCCGTGCGAATCCGATTACGATCGTTTGTCGGTGCATGAACGGGGAGGGTGGCACGTGCCTCCTTCAAACTTGGAATTAGCCGAGGACTTTGCGGACCGTGAATATGTTTTATCGGTGCGTCTTACGTTGCGGTTGTCTTGACATAAAGGAGACAATGCGATTATACCGAATTCATATCACGCGCACCCATCTGGAACGCGCAATTGAATGAAAGTCAGAAAAATTTTAATGACGTCTAAGGGACAAATTTTATTTTCTCTCTGCTAGTAGCGATTTCGTTTATTCCTGCAAGTCGTTCATAGGCGCGTTTTAGCATTTCTTTATAAAAATTATGGATTTCTAATTTAACGTAGGTACATTAAGATTGCAATTTCCGTACGCTGCTTTCCATTTATTTCACATTCAACTGTTCTGTATTTATTTAACTTCGAAATTTCAAAAGTTCCATGGGGCTTTCAATCAAACTTAATTAAAGGAAGATTTTTTTGTTTAATCCTTTTAACTACGGTTTTAACCGGTCACCGTACTTCCTAAAGTTCATAAAAGTTTGCTCGAAAATAAAAGGGGGAAAAAGGAGTTTAGTTTTTACCATCAAAAATTAAAATGAATAGAATCGTCTTTGCAGGAGTCTATATAATATTTTTTTGGGTATCTGCTTTTATTTTTACATAAGGATAGCACGTTAAAGGAGTTGATCAAGAAGTTTTCCATCTTTAAAATTAAAATGAATAGAATCGTCTCTCCAAGAGTCTTCTTTCGGGTCCACCTGTTTTTACTTTTACACAAGTTAGCACGTTGAAGTAGTTGATCAAAGGTTTTTCGAAAAGCGTGAAATGTCATTTTGCTCGCCAGACGCGATATCATTGATACGAATTTCGGTCGCGACCCGGGCGAACTTTTACTCCTGCCGCGTGACCTAAAAGCAAGACTCGGCGAAGAACAAGGAATCGGGGGGGAGAGAAAGAAGACCGCGCCCCCGGTGCGCAACTTATTCTCCGCGTTTCCACCCCATAACGCACTCGACTTGCAGCTCCCAACAGAGAAGCCCGTCTGCTTCGGTGTTCTAGAGGGTAACCTCGTGGAGGTCAGCCCGCCGAGTTATCCAGGCGGTTATCCCCCGGGGCACTGGGTCACGCCCGGACCTACGCCAAGCATAGACGAGCTCTGCCACAAGTTCACGGGGAGGCCGACGGAGCTGAGGTTACCGTCGAGGAGCACGATACCGAGTCTGCCGGGGATGCCGGTGACGGGGGTGATGGTGGGTGCCGGCCAGGGCGTCGTGATCGGCGGCGCCCAGGGTGTCGTCGTGGGCGGCGGGCAGGGTGTCATCGTCGCCGGCGAATGCCTCGACGGCGAGGCGATCAAACGAAGACTGATGGCGAACAGGCTGCCGGAGAGCTGCGTCTAGAAGCGCTCGGCTCGTGGCGTGGTACCGTCGCAGTCGTCGTCGCCGTCGCCCTCACGGCGTTCACGAGTAAACGACTATCGCGTGCGCCGCGATCGGAGGTCGGCACGAGATCCCGGCGAGAGGCGAGGCTCGAAGCGAGGCTCGAAGCACGTGCTCGAGAGCACTCGTCGCGTATCCAAGAACGATTTCGAGGTCCCGCTTACCGGGGAAGCGCTCGCGTTGTCCGTTTTCGTGACAGCCGTCTGTTAGCTTTAACGTGTTTGCTAACGATCTCCAGCGCGATCGAGGCTCGTTCGGCGAAACGGGGGAGCGGACCCGCGCCGGGGTAGTTGGAGCGATCGATAGGACGCCCGGGATGCATTACGTGTCGGGGATCGACGTTTTATGTCTGGCGAACAATTGATTTCGCTCGGTGCCGGCCGATCCGGGGCGACGGGAGGGCGAGTTCTCGCGCGGTGCGACTTCTCGCGGGGACGGTCCGCGAGATTAAGAGGGACACCGTCCGTCGCGATTGTTTCCGAAACACGATCGCCGCGTCAGTTTCTCCCTCGGGGGCGAACCGGAGGAGGAGGAGGGGGAGGAGGAGTGGAAGTATGCGGAGAAGTTAACCGAAAACTCGTCCAAGTTTCCCCGCCCCGCCTCGGGAGGTATTGCGAAGTTCCGACATTCTGTTTTCGGTCGTCGACTTAATCGTCTTTGCCCCCCTTTTTGTTTCCAGACCGGGGGATGATCTTCGACACGGGTGTGTCTTTCCGAATATGTCCCCAAGTCCGCCGCTCCCCTTCGTGGCGGCCGCGGACCGTAAAGGGAGGACGGAAAATCGAGTCGCGAGAGCTGCTCCGGATTGAACGGCGAATTTAAAATACGTTTTCGAGAAGTGTCTCGAGGGGGGGGGGGGAAACATGAAAATCCATCTCTTTTATTACCCAGCCCCACTTTTGGAATTTTTCCCCGACAGAATCAATTTTCATTTTATATACGGCGCCGAGAATAACTTTTCTCTCTTCTCTTTACTTCCAGCCAATTATGTTTACTTTGCTATATGTTTCCCGGCCACGCTATAATTTCTCCCCCGGCCGCATTAGATCTTTCGTTCGTTATTATTCCCCTCGGTTTCTTTTTTCTTCCCCTTCCGTTATACATCTCCCCGCGAAACATCTCGCGACGGCCCTAAATAAATCCGAATCCCACCAATGAAACGTTGGTCCGGAAGCATCGGGCCGTGAAACACGAGGAAAGATAAAAGGCTCTCGAACGAACCCCTTTTCCGATGGCTCGAATGAAGACGAATGGAGGAACCGCGCGAAAATATACCGGGGCTAGGGGAGGAGCCCGAGAAGGAGCCGGGCGGGCGGGGGACGCGAAATGAAAGGAAGAAAGGGAATGCTCGATGCCACTTTGGCGTGTAGTTTGAAGGCGTGAAATGCGGTTTTAAGGTTGAACGATCAGCTCCGATATCGCGGTAAAGCGAGCGGCAGGGGGTGTGGGACGGGGAACGAGGGGCGGGCGCCGATATCCTGTTTAAATTCTCCGAATTCGATATTTTTGGGCACAACTTGCCGGCCGGCGAAGTGCGGCCGATGATATTTACGTTCGCGCGATATTGCGGGGCGTGAGTAACGATAACGACATTAAGATTCAAGGGAAAATCCCTGAGATGAAAGTAAAGCGCTCGTGAGTCGTCGAACATATCGCGTCTACATATCGCACCTTGAGATCGCGTCGATCGCGAGGGTCTCACTGCCGTTTCATTTTTACCCTCGAATAGGAACAGGTAACGATTCATTGGGCCGAGCGGTCGAGCGGCGAGGCCAGCGACTCACCTTGTCCCATCTCAAGGGAGACGAGGAGAGGACCGGGTAGCGTACAAAGCGGAAACGATTCTTACGGAAACGAGACCAGGCGCGCATCATACTCTATTGGTAATTGTGATAGAGCATTTATAAATTTTTCTACCGCTGATATGAGTTTTCTGTACTCCCCGCCGAATGATTAAAGACACTGCCCTTGCGAGACTCGGACGCTCTCAGACGTTCCAAGAAGCATTCTCACCGGGGTGTGTGCGTGCGTACGTGTGTTTGTGTTTGTATGCGTGTGTGTAAATATATACATAGTTTTAATCAGTCCTTCAGATCGTTATCACCGTTATTCGCGTGCGATTCGCGACGAAAGATAGGGAGAGAGAGAAAGAGAGAGAGAGAGCGAGAGATGGAGAGGGACACGGCGCCACAGCGTTCGCGACATTCTACGCGTTCTCGCGCGAGGAAAGCTTCACTCTGCAAGGTTTTGCAAAAACTGGTCTTCCACGTGACACTTTGCGACGAAGTCGTGAAACTTCTACGGCGAGAATGGAACTAACGAATCGACGAAAAGCGTATCCCTAATGGAAACGGTGTAACGCGAACTTTGCCCGTGGAAAAGTTCGCGCTCGCTTCGGATGATCGATAGACTCGTAATGTGTAAAAAAAAACAGAAAAAAGAAAAAACAGAAAATGAGAGAGAGAGAGAGAGAGAGCGCGCACGAGTGACGGACCGAGGGATGAATAACGAGTGTCGCGTCAGCGACGCAAAGTAGTTGCTCCCCTCGGAACACGGGAGGCGAGTAACGTCGAATCAATCGTCGAGTGCGTGTGTTTCGATGTGTATGAAGAGATAACGGTTGCTCGTTAGCTAATGTATCGCTGTATATATTATCACGGGAGAGTCTAACGATAGGTTGACGACGTTGAAGCTTTTCGCGAGGAAGAGACGAGTTCGAAGCGAGCGCCTTGTCGAGCGCCTCGTTTAACTTTCCGTCGCGCGAGGGGGGCGGAATTGTTTCTCATCGGCGCTTTTTTACGGCGAAAACGCTCGACAACGCGCTCCACCGAGAGATCTTTTCAAATTTACGCCCCCTCCCATGATGATCCGTGGTGTTGCGATTTTTTTTTTTGACGATACCGAACTTCGGTGTTGAAAGACGATTTTTTTATCCTCCTAACACTTTCGTTGCGAACGAAACGTAGCTTCGTTGTTTCTCCGTCGCACATTTGTTCTCCTATCTCAAGAGATAAAAAAGTCCGTTCTTTTTTCTACATTCCCTTCTTTTTCCAGACGTTTTGAGGAACTCGATAACCGATCTGGTCCTGAGCCTTCTACTTAATCTTTTCCTCAACCAGTTCGTGACAATCCCTTGAATTTACCCGGACACAGCACGCACGTTTAAAAGATATCTGAACTCATCTAAAAGATGTCCTTCAGACACGCGTGCTCCGTCTGGGTAACAATCGTTACCGAATGATCGTCAAAGAATTATCGAGAGCGGTCAGTCGAACGGCACATATCTTCCCACGTCCACGAGAATTCGCTCGGAGTTCGCGGATGAGACGACGGAGGTGACGCGTTAGAGCGGACCGAAAGAGAGGGAGAGAGAGAGAGAGAGAGAGAGAGAGAATTAGAATAAGACAAAGTACTACTGCCCGTATTCATTTTGTAAGAGCGGAGAAACGTCGCGGAATATATCAATCTTTTTCACACACTATGCGCGAGGATCTTATTCAGCGAGCGTGTTGCGGGAAGGATCGCCCGAGAGTAGATACCGAAAGTCACGTTCTCGGCTGACGTGACCCAACAATCAAGCGCGAAGGGGAGGCAAAAAAGAAGAAGGCGAAGAAGAAAGGGAAGATAAGCGCGAGCAAGTAACAGTAGCGAGTAATGTGACTGTACATAATCAGCGAGTAACTTGTACGTAACGACGCGAGAGAGTCCATGTAAATCGATCGGCGGTCGTAAGCCCGACCCTCAAGTTCACTGTATAGGTGATTTCATATCAGACCCTCCCTCGCCCCCTCCCTCCCCCGTCCGTCACCCGACCCGATATCGTTTAACTAACTCGTATGTATATACTACACCATGTTTTGATCTGAATAAACTGTTTAATTGTCCGAATCCCCGAAGGCGTGTTCATTTAAGCCGCGACCTGGCCGGGGGTGGCCGGGGGTTCGGCACCCACCCCTTCCGCGCCGGTATACAACTGCGAGGGAGAACGGGGCGCGCTTGTAAAGTAAAATAGGCGCCCTGACAAACGACGCTCACGTGCCGCAAAAGGAAGATAGACGCTCCTGAAAAATGGGGGCCGAAACTTCCCTACGGTTCGACGAAAAAGGAATACTCAGCGCGTGAGAAGTCACGGCGGAGCTGGGCGGCTTTGAGAAATTCGCGGTATGCCTCCCTCTTCCTCCCCCCCCCCGCCCCCCGCCCAGTCTAGCTGGTCTCGCACAAGGTAAGTTTTCTTCCCCCTTTCTTTAGGTGTCCTCTTATGAATCGCGGAGAGGGGATGCGTCGCCCGGGGTTGATGTCGACGATCAAATCGGTATCGATCATGATTTTTCGGACCGTTTGATTTGACAACTTCTTCATCTTCGTACGAACACATATTGATTCGATGTATAGAAGATATCATGTCAGTGTTGACTAATTATTGATGATTTAGTTGATATCTTAGTAGATACCATATTCAATTCGAGTCGATGGAGATGGAGATGTTGATTCGACTTCAATACGATATAGATTGAACGATGACTAGATCGTCGACATCTACAGAATCTAGATATCGTGATGAGATCTTCGAAATGTCACTTGATTATTGATTTTCATATGATCCCAACTTGACTTCAATATTCACCAGCCTCTTCGCATCGGCGAATCCAACTCGAGAGAAATGTTCTCTCTTTAACGAACGCCGCGTATCGCGATGCGCGGTAACGTTTACGCTTCAAGATGCCCTTGCGGCGAAAGGGCGTGTAACGAAAGTGGGAATTTTTTTATATCTCGGCTTCCAAGACTTTATCCGAGATTTTACAACGATACATAGGCAGGCCATAAAAATCGCTTGATATGCACACCTCGCGAGCTCCCTCGCGTACCCTCGGGCATCGCGCGGGGAGGGGAGAAAAAAATGGAAAAGATGTCGCGCAGAATTTTAATCCTGTCTCGCGTATTCGCGGTTACCGCAAAGACTAAGGAGGAAAAGGACACGTTAGAATATCTTGGTTGGCCCGCACAAAGGCCGCGGCAAGTTAAGTGCGTTTATTTCGTACCTGTTAACGCTACAGGAATTTTTAATCTCGCAATAATAATTCGTGCAAATTCCGCGTGACGTCAAGACTGAAAGATTTTTCGCGACTGACTCTTTGAGAGAGAAATATCCACCGAGACACGCTGGTGTCTCGAACCTTTGATACGCACAATTTGCGAAATTACATTTCCGCGGGATTCTCGCCGGACCGTCTCTCCTGCGTCCTTTCCTCCGCCGCGTCGCAGGGGAACAAGAGATCCCGCAGCCTGCGATGCACCTCGGTCGACGCGCCGACGATGATATCCATACCCTCCACCACCGCGCGATTGTACGCCTCGAACACGGTGCACTTTATTTCCTCGAGACTCGCTGCCTGCGCGAGAGTTAACGTAAGCAGAATCCGCGCGTGCAATTCTTCATGCGGCGTAAGATTTAAAAAAATTGCCAATCGCAGTCGATTATTCTCCTCACTTGTGCTGGGTCACTTTCTTAAATCTTACGCCCTAAAGATCTCTGTGTAGACGCCTCAAAGGTCCGAACACACGAAAAAAATTAAACAGTAAAACTTAAGACTTAAGGGAAATGACAGGCGGGAACTTGAGCAGCCATTTTGAAACTTAAGCAATGCTGAAACTACCGATTAGTTGAAATTCTTAAGTCTCAAGTCTTACTGCTTAAGTTTCTTCGTGCGTTTCCAGCTTTAATGCAAATTTAACTCCTGTTTACCGGCCGATCGGGAAAAATCACGCTGGTCATCCTGTAATACAGATCCTCCGTCTCGGCGCCGTCGCCCCAGAGACCCTCCGTGCAGGTCCAGCAGATGAGAGCGGCGACAATGGCGCCTTTCGCAAAAAACGTCGCGACTCTGCAAAGTTTCGCGTTGGTCGAAAGTGGCGGAGGCTCCGGGGGAAATTCGCAGTACTGCATGAATAAAGGCGACGTATAAGTTTAGCATCGTGAACATCTTGATTCCAATTTCATCACGTCATAGCCACCTCAGAATTCCTGCATTTAACTTAATCTTCATTCATTTAAATAATTACCCTTGTCAAATGGCACCGAGTAAAGTTATATAAGAACATTCGTTTAAGTTTAATACGAAGAAGCGTAAATATTTGATTCGAGATAGTTGGACACGTATTTGAGACTCATTATTCAGTATCTGTTTTAATTACGCGGATACCGTTTAGGTTGAGATATTTCTAAGATCAAAGTGTCACGGAGGATTACGGAGATCGATACGCGATCTTCTGTTCCGCGCGGCAACTCGTCGTTATGCTCGACTTCCCGTCCCAAGATCTCGATGATGTCCTGTAACAGTTACAGGGCCTCCGACCGCCCTTCTCCATTAGAGACCCATCGCTATAGTAGTGTACACCGACTGTCGAGCTAATTCCAGGTAAACGCAACTACGTATCGACTAACCAATTCCGTACAGGTGCTCGAACACCATCATCTCGTTACCCGGCGTGTCAATATCGCGCGAGGGCCGAGTGAACGCTCCGACACAGCGACAGGCCACATGATTTAACCCAGAATTGGATGCCTCGTGAAATGTATGGCATAGTGTATCTAATCACATCGTGCCGAGAATTTAGACGTCGCGCTCGCGTTCTCCTCTTTCCGGCTTCTATTCGCCGGACATTCTGACGTTCCAGCGACGTTAAAGGCCCGAACACACGAGAAAAACTTAGGACTTAAGGGCAATGACCAATGAGAGTCGAGAACGTAAGCAGTCATTTTGAAACTTAAGCAACGCTGAAAATTTCGATTGGTTCAAATTATTAAGTCTTGAGTCTTACTGCTTAAGTTTCTTCGTGTGTTTCCAGCTTAACGCCGATACTTTTCTCTCCTCTGAGCATAGTATAAAGCCAACGGCACACGATACTATCTTTCCTACTGGATTGTTCACGAGAGCCAATCAGGACTTAGCTTTAAGTCAACTGATCTAAAACTCTGCATCCTTATTGGTTCTCGTAAGCAATCCAGTAGGAAAATAGTATCGCATGCTGTTGGCTTAACTAGTAGGCTCACTCTGTCATTTTTGGGCCCAACCGATGAGACAATTCGACTGGTCTCTTTCGCAAGGTTGTACCTTGATTTTACGCAACTTCTGGTTTTTATGCTTACACACTCTTTCTGGACCAGAATGACCAGTATGTGTGGTAGTGTAGCTTTAATGCGTACGTACCCTACACACACGCACACACACACACACGCGCGCGCCGCTGAATTTGGGTCAAAAACATGGCGGGATACCACGTGATTGGGACCGAAAAGATCAAAGGGCCGACAGAGAGTAGTCATAGTAGTTATACTGTGCCTCCAAGTTTGATTCAAACATTTGAGGATGCATTGTTGTACGAATATTTCCGCATAACATGTGTGTTTGCACCTCTAGAGTTAATTAAACCTTTGAGAACTTCGGCAGTCCCCCCTCACCTTTGGCGGACACCTCCTCTGCGCATCTTTCCAGGAGCAAACTTTAACCGCCACCGGTCTAGGGGTCCAGTAATCGCTCGCGCGATTAGGATCGCAGGCGGAATCTACATTCGCGCTAACGAGTCCCTGAACCTTCGGCTTTATACACGTTTTCGGATTGGACAGATTAATGGTCTGCACGACACACTTCGTCCCTCTCTTCATGTTGCTTCGTAATCTTCGCTCGACGAGTCGTGGTTGCCGATTCTACGCGAATCGCGAGGCACCCAGTCACTTCTTTCGACGCGAAACCTTTGCAAGTGGAATAATTAGGTACAGGTTAAAACCGGGAATAAGAATTTTAACAGGCTCCAATCTACTTTGTTGCTAGACATTGAAATTCAGGACGAATAGAAACGGATACATTTTATTTCAATGCACGACGAATCATTATTCCAGTATACATGACAAAAATAATGCTTCGCGCGCTAAGCTAAAATTAAACTTACATCGAAGATCGCGAAAAAATTTTTATGAAATGTTAAAACTGTCGACCTCCGAAGTATGATTTTTTCATTTCTTTCTAGTTGAGGTGTTTTACGGAGCTTCAACGAACGTCTGTTATACTGCAAATTTATCCGACGACATGTGGACGTGTGACATTTATTAAAATTGATTAGCTTTTGTTCGGGACACGTCACTCGTTTAACATACCAACTGCATCATCCTATTATCCACATTGGTACAACAATATATGGTATGTATATATTTATGAACTATTAATTCTCAATTATCGGAGCAAAAGTGCGTATACAGTTGAAAACTTTGCATTAAATTTAATTGATATCGCATGCTGCAAACAGTCTACGCAAAAGTTTGTGTTAATGTAACACAATGTGTTAAATTGCGATACTAAAACTATATTCATACATTAACGCAAAATAAATGTAAACCTCAAAGTAATTTGAAATAAACTTTGTATAAAATCAACACTTTTAACGATTTAATTAAGTAAAAGATTTTTACATTTTACAGTTGTGATAATTCAAATTTGTATACTATAGAATAAAATCAGCATTTCTTCTGTAAATTTTTAACCGACTAATCCTATCGTTAATAATACGGAACATATCCGTTGCGTAAAATTAAAAACGGGTGCACGTTGTTTTAATAATTTAACACTTGAGTTCAATTAATACAACAGCAACAAATTAACACGTGAATGTATTAACACGGAAATTTTGACCGGCATATTTTTCAACAAGGAAGCGCAAATATCTTCCAACGGTGTAAATGCAATTTTCGTTAACGGAGAGAAAGATGCATGTTGGATGCACCGGTCGTCGATTTCCTTACTGAGCGGCCGCCATCGGCAGCGACAAAGAAAACGATGAAAAAGTGCGAGAGACGCGCGAGAACACGTAACAGATACGGCACGACGCGCGCACAAAGGACCGGGTGGAATAATGCATGGCGGGTGCTTCGTCAACTTTGGTACGCAAAATTCTGTTTCGGGCCTTCTCCGGTGTCGCCCGTCCCCTACAAGCGCTACGTTCTGATAAGAGCGAATGTATATACATAAAGGAGTCGAGATTGCGACACGAGAAAGGGAGAGAAAGAGCGGGGGAGCAGGGCGAGAAGGGCTGAGAAAAGGGAGGGACAGTGCTTGATGAAACCCAGTTTTCCAACGAGGTCTTTGCGCCACTCTTCCCTTCCGTTCTCCATTTTGTTACTCGCGTACGGCGCGCGACTTCGCGATTCCTTATTCATCAACGCCATTGGAAAAACCCATGAAATTTGCATCCCGGCGGGATTCGCGCCGACGCGACGCGACGCATCGCTGACGGTTTATGGGTCATCGCCGCTTCGTATCTCTCCGAGCGAAACTTCGCGCGGAGCTTCGCGCGATCGTAGCCGAGTCTCGAGCACGGGCGTGACACGTTTATTGACATCTCGTCCGTGAAATTTCCCCTTTCCGCGAGGATTATGTAAATAATTTGACGCGAGACGGAAGGTAGTCCGACGATCAATCCCGTCGAGGTTTGAATATTCGTGTCTCTTTCAGCACGCAATTTGTGAGGTTCGTGGATACCGAATCAGTCGCCGAGATTCCCGTAAACCGGGAAGAACGCCAGTTAAAAAAAAAAATTCGCCACGTCGTCGCCCCGACGTAATGACGTCGCCGCGATATATCTGCGGGGTATTAAAAAAAAGAAAGGGAAGGGGATGCGCGAGAGCGATGCGGAGAAAAACGACTATCGCGCGACGATAAAGGGAGATTCACGATCGTTCGCCGCCCGTGGATGGACATTAAGAAAACCCATGAACGTCGCTATCGAGCGGGCCCGCGATCCTTTAACGAAAGGCACGGTGAAATACGAAGGACGCGCGGGAGAAGGGGGGGGAGGAGGGAAAACTAATTTTCGCGATATTAGTCTTACGAAATTGGTTATTGATGTTCTATTCGTCCGCCGATAATGGCGGCGCGGAAGCGATTCCCCGCGGAGAAAAGGTCGTGAGACCCGGCAAGGGTCAAGGATCTCCGGGGTTACGTTGTCCTTGCGGGCGAGGCGCTCGTCCTTCTTAAAGGAATTGCTTCCTTAACGGGCGTTAAATCGACTTCGCCGCCGCGGTCCTCCTCGCTCTTGCGATTGACAGATATTTCGTGGTCCTCGCCACAGACTTCGTCCCTCCTTTCTCCCTTTCTCCCTTTCCGCCTTCCTCCAGCCCTCTCGCCCGCTCTTCCTTGTCCACCTCAGTCCCTTTTCTTCCTCAAGTCCACCTCCGTGCATTCTTTTTCGCCACTTTCTCTCACAAAGGCTTCCGGGCGCGCCTCGCAAGTTTCTCCCTCCAGCTGCACGAACGATTGCTCGCCTGGCAACATTCCAGACTACCTTCCCACTGACCAGGGTGGAATACACGATAAATTGATAAATTCGCGGATCCTACGCGCCACCGGCAGATAGTCGTTGAGTATGCCCGTAGTACAGACATAGTTCAACGATTTTGACAGCTTTCGTGCGTGTTATACCAGCGCTCTTTACACTCGAGAGCGGCGATTCCATCCTCTCCTTCTCTTCAAACTTCAACATGCTATTTATACTGAACAAAATTTTTTATTCGAGTATCGTTTTCACTCAAGACACGTAGCCCTTTCTAAAAAAGAGTTGTTACCAGTGCGAATATCGTTAATATCGAACAGTTGAGGGCCCTTTTCCGCGATGCCGATTGGTTTTCTCGAAGCGCGGTGTGCTTCACTTCTCTTTTAGATTCGTGGTAAATGAAGATTTGCAATTTAGAAATATACATTTGAATACAGTAACTATTGTGATAAAATCTCTAATCTTAGTAATTAGAATTGAAGTAACAACGATTTTTATTTCGAAACATTTTCTCGATTGAACATCGTTAATTTAATCAATATCAATAAGTCCGCAGAATGATACGCAAAACGTAGTAACAGTCACGGAACAAAGTAAGGTAAAATATTAAGTACACAATTTTCCATTTCGTAGGCGGGACAACGAACTCTCAACGTTCGTTGTTGTTTTTCTCTCGGCGCGGTGACGTATGATGTTTTTGCATGCCATCGTGTACACTGAAGGTCGCCGCGCTCGCATTCGCTCGCCGAACGTCGAGCCGGCAAGCAGTGGCGAGAGTCGCTCCGTGCGTGGTATTACTTTTGCGTTATCGGTTTTCAAGACTCGATCGCGAGGAATGTAGGGATAAAACGCTATTGATTCGTATAGCTTTATCAGTAACAAGTAACGCGTTCGACTAATTACTAAGTTTCTGCATATAGCTCGTAATGGAAATTAATTTGCGCGTTCAAGCGACGGCTTTTATCAACGTAGACATTTCACGAGATTAATTCGTCTAAAATATGAACATAAACCGCGGTACTTTGTCGCGATTGCATCTCGTTTATGCATCACGCTTTTAATTATCTGTCGATTTCGTGTAATCTATTCCATTTTCAGGAAAAGAAAAAAATTGTGCGACTTCGGCGTTCGCGCTGTAATTCGCTCTGTCGGTTTTCGCAACTCGAACGGGCAGGAAGTAAAGAAAGTCGCTTATTGTACGTTGTTACATTATGTAATAGAAAATTATCTCGATTAACTGCTGCAATTAATAACAACTATTTATCGCTGGAAATTTCGCACACATAATTTATCTCGAGGATTAGATTGAATGGCAAAGATTGTAAAATATCGTTTCGTTGCGGACTAATAACTACTTCTTTACCGCAGATTATGATTCCGATTCTCGCGTTGCGTTTTATATCGCCAATTCAAAATTTTTTTTGAATAAGGAATTTATCCCTTATTCTATTCTTCCGAATCAAATATGCAAGTTGTTAGTTCGAGTAATTTTTATGATAGAAACTCACGCGATATTTGTTAACAATATTTCATGCGTTTCGCGGTATTTCGTATCGCGTACGGGAGTGTCCGAAATTTCGCGCGATCGGTGATTTTCGCGAGTGAGTGTTGATGTGAGTACAACAAGGAAATCTGAGAGGAGGAGGAGGCCAAGAAGGCATCGGGCAACGGCGGAGAAATGGTGAGGTAAGTGTCTTACATTTTTATGTTATTTGCTACTTGTGCAAAATGAAGCACCTCTGTTCTATGTTTTTACTTTATTTATTCAAACGATTCGAACGAAGATTCGAATGAGCGTTAGAGACAACACTATACGTATAAAATGTTGTGAGTTTATATTTAAAAGGAAGACTTTTTCAATATTCTATATCATTATTTTATTAAATACCAATTTCAAAAAATAGAAAATATAAAGTATATTTAATACAATAATTTCGATTTTACATAATTAGTCTATAATAATCATATATTATATTTGTATTTTTACAGTTTAACATATACAGTTGACGATGTACAACTCTGCTGTTGCGAATCGTATGAGTGAGTGACAAATTACTTTTTATTTTAAATTGACGTTGCGCATACAGTTATTTCTTTGCATGTATACAAATTCTTAAAAATACACAATGCTCGACTACAACTGCGCGCGTGAAGCGCGCGTTTTGTCATTTCTAGTATATTTAAACGACATATGAATCGTTCATATCTGGGATAATTTTGATTTTTACAAATGTAAAAAGTCACACCGCTTAAATTTTAATATCCAGAACATTCTTGTTTTTTGAAAGTTAAAGCATTATCTATGCACATTTATTATTCCGATTATTTGTCACGAAACACGCT